CCTCCCGCCCCATTAGGCGGGGCCCATTAGCGCATCAATTAGCCGAGGTCCCGGGCTGTGGTCGTTAAGCGCGGGGGCGAGGGGGGCCGCGGGGAGGGGGCTCTGAGCGCCCTGGGCCCCCCTCCCCGCCGCCCCTGCGGGCTCCTGGATCCCCCAACTCTCCCCTCCTCCGGGGGGACCCAGCCCCGCGGGGTGGGGTCGGAGCACCAGGCCAGAGGGGGACCCCGAGGCCCCAGACCTGCCCCCTTCTTGGAGAAGACCCCCCGGGTGGGGCTGCCGGGTTAGTGCCCCCCCCCACCCGCACCACCCCCACGGCGCCCTGCAGCCGCCAGCAGCATCAGTAAGAATAACAACAACAACATCAGCTGACAGCCCGGGAGGCCTCGCAGGCTCTCTGCTAATTCCCAGAAACGGGGATCAGACCCCCGCAAAGCCGGGGCTGCCGGCAACCAATTCGCGGACGTGTATCGAGTTGCTTCCATGTGCAAATTTCAAAAAAAAAAAAGAACTGACTCCCCATCCGTCTCTGCCTTGGTCTCTATCAACACCCCCCGCCACCCGACACATTCTGTATTTTCCTCATTTCTCTGTCCACCCAACCACGAGGGCGGGGAGCTGTCTGCTTGGTTCCCTGCCGTGGCCCTGGGCTCCTGGCGGGGTCTCGATAAGTGAACGCGTGTGCCAGGCTCTGCGTTCCACGGGCTAAATAATACGGTCTGCATAGCAAGGGTCGGTTCTGTGATTATACCCATTTTACAGATGAGGAACCCAAGACCCAGAGGGGCCAAGCCACTTGCCTAGATCACCCAGCCGTGGAGGAAGAACCAGGATTTAAACCCACGCTGGAGACCCCGTGCCTGGAACAGCCATGATGCAGTACATAATAATATCTGCTATTTGTGCAGATGGGGGGGGGTTGGGGGGCGTGTGTGCAGAACCCTGCTTTGGGGTAGGGTCAGGGGAGGCCTTCAGAAAATCGACTTCTGGGGAGTCTTGGAGGATTAGAACAAGGAAAGGGACAGGGGAAAAAAAAGAGAGAGAGAGAGAGAGAGAGAGAGAGAGAGAGAACGCTGTTCCAGGCAGAGGGAACAGCATGTGCAAAGCCCTCCAGGCAAGAAACAGCAAGATGTTTCACCCTGGCTGCAGCCTGCTGAGTAGGAATGATTGGAGGGATGGGTAGCAGGACCTGCCCTGCAGGGTCTCCTGGGCCTTGGTGAAGAACTTAGGATTTATTCCCAGAGCCATAGGAGCCAAAGATAGTCGATTTTTTATAATTTAAAAAAATGAAATATAACACACAGACGGAAGAGCACAGATTCTAAGTGAACAATTCTATGAATTATCAGAAAGTGAACACACTCGTGTAATCAGCCCCCAAGTTAAGAAGGGAAATACGACCAGCCACGTTAGAAGTCCCCTCCGCCCCTCCCCCCCTCCTGAGGGTAAACCTATGACATCTGACACTATAGGTCACTTGGGCCTGTTTTTGTTCTTCATGTAAATGGAATCACCCAGTATTTACTCTTTTGTTCAACATCATGTGTGTGTGAGATGCCTGGCGTTGAGTCCGTTCTTTTTCATGGCTGTGTAGTATTCCACCACACAACTAGGCCGCAACTTATCAGTCCTGTGGCTGATGGACGGCTGGCAGTTTGCAGTCTGGGGCAATGATGACTAACTACAGTGCCTCTGAACGCTCTTGTTCATGTCTTTTTGAGTCATGTTCATGACTCAAGTGGCATTTCTTTCGGGGGATGGACACAGGAGGGGGACTGCTGGGTGCCAAACAGCCTTCTGAAGTAGGTGCAACAATTTACACTCCCCAGGTGGCATAGGTGAGTTCGGGTTTTGAACACAAGGATAAATGTTGAGGAGCTAGTGACGCCATCGCACTGGTATCTGGGGAGGTGCTTTGGCTGCAGTGCGGGAGGGGCGGGACCCAGCAGGAGGCTGGTAGTGACCACTCCAGTCCCCTCCGTCTCCTCTTTCTCTCCCTGGGGACAGGAGACGTTTTCCTTGAGGTCAGCAGTCCCACCATCACCCTCTCCCTCCTTCCCTCCCTCCCTCCTTCCCTCTCTGCCCTTGTTCCCCCGTGGGAACCCACTGCACTGGGGAGACGGGTGAGAACTTCTTGGACTTCAAAGTCCCCTGGGTGTCCCAGCTCCGACCATGGAATTTCTGTGCCACGCAGCCCTGGCAGAGATCTTGCCAAGTCAGGATGGCCCCCCCATGCCAGCCCCACATCCTGGGTGGCCAGCCTGAGGCCCCCTGGGCCCAGGGCCAGATGCACTGAGGGAATCTGGCTCCCCTGGGGTCTTCCAGCTGGGGTGCGTGGGTGATGGTGGGGGCCTTTCAACTGGTTCCTTGGAGGATCGAGGTTCAGCTGGGGGTCTGCGTTGTCTCATCTGGGACAAGGGTCTGTGTGTGTGCAGAGGGGGTGGATTCTGCTGTCTCCACATCTTCTGTCTTCAAGGGAAAAGAATACAACTTAGGAGCCCCCTGGCCTGGGGCTCAGCTCAGTGACCCTTAGCTTTTTTGAGCCCCTTCACCCACCTGTCTAAATAGCTAGCTAGACCTCAAGCACCCAGGTCGTGCTGTGTGACCTATAGCCTCCTGCTGACCCTCTCTGGTCTATGCATCCAGTTCTGGAGATAAGACTACACTTAAAGCCAGACTCGCCTCGGACCCTCCATATCCCGTCCTGGAAGGGAGGAGGGGGGCTCAGACATGAAGGAAGCCCCCTCCTCCCGGGGGAAGGGGGCCCCCCGCGGGCAGCCGCAACACAGAGGCAGGAACACGGCAACCAACCTTCTCACATCTTTATTTGAAAGGCACAGCTAAGCCCACCCTCGATACAGCATTTCACTTCTCTCCGCAGAGATCAAACGAGGAACACACAGAAGCCGACAGTCTAAAAGGCTATATACAGACACAGGTGTGGGAGTTGCTTTTTTTTTTTAAACATTTTTTTTTTTTTTAATATCCCCCTTCTTCAAAGACAAGCTAGTGTACTGGAAAAAAAAAAAAAAGAATAACCAAGACAACTTGAGTACCCTCATCTTTATTGGGGAAGGAGAGAAAGGGAATTCTGAGACCCCCGCCCCGCTCACTTCCTGCGGCCCCCTCTTCTGTGGGCGAGGGGAGAGGCCCAGGTGGGGGTGCGTTCTGAAACTAGCGGCGGGGGGCGCGTGGGCAGAGGGGAGGGGGAGACTCGGGGTGCCCAGGGCGGGAGGGGGCAGCTAGCATCTTTGCATGCAGTGCCGGGGTAGGAGGAGGCTGGGGGGTGTGCCCTGAGGGAGCCCGGCGGGCGACTGTCAGTTACACGTGTGTCAAACGGGGGCGGGGAGTGCAGGGGGTGTTGGATTTCTTGAGGTCTTGCTCCCTCCTGAGCTGGCCTCCCATTTGTACCTCCAGGCCTCAGCTTGCCCCATCTGTGGTATGCGCAGGTATATACCCATTCTGGCTGCAGGGGAGCGGGGGGGTGGGGGGGGGATCAGGAGGAGGAGGAGGGAGGCCGGGGCCGGGGGCAGGAGCAAAGCCAGGGGGTGGCACCCAAGCAGGGCTGGGGCCTTAAATACTACCGGAGTCGAGCCCATCTCCAGAGATACTGTGTCTGGCACCCCATCTTCCTCTCTCCGCCTCCCCTCTGTCCCCCCGCCCTCCCCATCCCCGCCGCCCCCTAATCCGACTTCTCCCCGTCGTCCTCCTGGTGGGTGTCCCCGTCATGCCCGTTCTTGTCTTCCTTGGAGAGGTGGGCCTGCGAGCCCAGCGCAGACAGCGAGAGCAGCCCGGTGCCCGCGCTGACCGCTGGCAGCGAGGGTGGCTGCAGCCCCACGGGCAGCGGGGTCAGGGGCAGGGCCAGAGCCTGCAGCTGGGACAGCTGGTGGGCTTGGAGCTGCTGCTGCAGGGCAGAGGGAGGGGGCGTCAGCCGCCTGGAGCGCCCCCACCCCACCCCTGCGCGCCCACCCGCCGCCACCCCGGACGTACTCGGATGATGGAGTTGAGCTCCGGGGCCGTGACTTGCTTGGCCCTCTCGATGGCTCCCAGGACCTGCTGCTGGTGCTGGAAGGGGGTGGGGAAGAGAGAGGAGTCACGTGAGGCGCCCGGATCTCCGTGGGGATTTGCGGCACAGAGCCCCCGCCCCCGCCCCAGAAAGCCCCCCTCTCTGCAGTTGATTCTTTCACCAAACCTCAGTCTCTTCATCTGGAAAATGGGGACCAATAGAGGTGCATAAAAGACCCAAAACGGCTGGTGGAAGAGGCCTTTGGGGGAGTCGGGAGAAACCCTGAGTCACGACCTATCCGATGGCACGTCCACAGAAGTGAAAGTGCAGTGCACAACCTGGCCAACCCTACAGGGAGGTCCTGATCCCAAGAACTCAGAGACTGTGCTCTGAGATCTGCTGATCTCAGCTCCCCTCCTTCTAGACCCAGCGAATTCTGGCAGGGCTGGGGCATGAGTCCAGGTTCATTCAGCGCATTCTCCCGCCTCCTCACAGCCCTCCCTGAAAGTCGGGCTCTGCTGCCATCAGCTGCTAAAATCTGCCCATCTCCCTTTTTGCCTTGGCTACCAGGAAGCCCACCATGAAAGGGAAGCACAAGTCTAGACCTGCAGGCCCCCAAATGCCCCCTTCTCTGGTGCTTTCCTGGTGTCCTTCTGGAATTGTCGTGGGGCATGCCTGGCACCCGGAGGACACTGAGATACGGGCAGGGATTAAAGAGGAAGTGACGAACTATCAACAGGAAACCTGGCAGAGAGCAGGAGCTGGGCCCTACACGGCCTTGAGGGGGGCGGTGGTGGAGCCGGCCTCACACCCGGAGTCTTGAGAACCCCAGAAAGCAGAAGAGGAAGAGCCGGGGGCCCAGTTCCCTTGGGGGTGTGTGCGCACACGCACGCGCGGCCATAGGTGCCTGTGTGTGTGCACTGCGTGTCTGTCTGCACACCCCACACACGCGCCCCCTTACGCGAGGCCTGAAGTGGCGCAGGGCCCCGCAGGTGAACCTCAAAAGGGTAGGCAGCAGAAGACGACGGGGAAAAATAATTCTCGGGGCGGCCCTGGGCGGATCTGACATTTTTACTGGTGAAGTGAGTCACCCAGGCTGGGAATTCCACAGCAGGGTGACGCCCCTCCCTCCGCCGCCCTGGGGGGAACAAGTGCATGGTCCCTACCCCTCGCCCCGGGGCGCTCACCTCCTGGGAGAGGTACGGGAGAACCTGGGCACAGATGCCGTTCAGCCTCTTGACGATTTCAGCCTGGAACAGACGGACGCTTCAGTCCCGGGGGGCGGGCACGGGGCAGGTGCAGACCAGCCCCGGGGGGGGCCCCCACAGCAGGCCCGCGGGCACCCAGTCGCGGGGTCCCAGGCCGGCTAGGAGCGCAGGCACAGGGCCACTCGGGGGGCGTGGGTGGGAGGAAGCGGTGGGGGCAGTGGGCAGCGTTATTCTGTGACACCCCAGACACCAGCCTCGTCCAGGCCCGGAGGGCAGGAGCCAGGCTGGGGGGCGCAGGGCAACCCGGGCGGGGGGCGCACGGCGGGCCTGCCCCGCGCTGTCACGGGGGGGGGGGCGGGCGGTGGCAGGTCCCGGGCAGGGGATGGTCTCTGTCCTCCCCCCTCAAGGAGGCCTGTAATAGGATCACGGGGCGGACCTGGTACTCAGCCAAGGGGCGCCCCACCTGCCGGGGGGGCAGAGGAGGAGTGGGGGGCTTACCTGCTTGTGCATCTCGATGTTCAGGCCGTAGGACATCTCATAGTACTGTGGGGGGGGGACAGAGAGGGAGGAATGGGGGCGGGCAAAGATGGGGGCTCCAGAGACAGACATGGGGGAGATGGCTGGCGGGAGAGCCGGAGCCAGGCAGGTGGGAGGGACAGAAAGATCAGGGGGCACCCGCCCCGGGGGACCAGGCCCAGGTGCCTGGTGGGGGACCTGTAGGAGGAGCTTCAGGGCCCCAGCTGGGCCCTCTGGCTTCTGGAATAATTACCACCCCCCCCAGCAACACACACACATTCCAAGGCTCCTAATCTCTTATCTTTATGTGTCTTGTCTGCGGGTGGCCCCAGACTCCAGGGAAGTTTGCCTTCCTGGATATAAATAATCGAGGATAAACAAAGCTTGCTGGCTTGGGCTCCGAGGCCGGCAGCCCCCCTCCTGACGCCCTAGATCTGACCCTGCCCCTCCCCTGCTCTAAACCGTCCCATGGCTCCCCATCACCGGGGAGGGGGGGAGCCAAGTTCGTTCCAGGCCCTTGCATGGTTTCCCTTTCTCTGCCCAGAAAGCTCCTACTCGTTCATCAAGACCCCAGCTGCAGTGCCCCACTCTCCATGCAGCCTTCCTCAGGTAGCCTTTCCCCCTCAGGGCCCCCCAATCCCGGGGCCCTCTCTCTGCCCCAGCCCCATCCTTCTGGGGCCACGAGGGGCAGTCTGGCTCTGCCTTCCCCATGGCCTGGGAAAGTGGGGCTCTGGCTGGACCAAAGCAGGGGTTTTTGAGGCCAAAATCGCCACCTGGTGGGTATAAAACCGAGCAAGTGATTCCGACAGGGTCTCAAATGTCAGGCCAGAGAAGGCAGTGTCACCCCCTGGCCCCCACCAACCCCAAAGGGCGTCACCCCCAGGAGTCCGCCTCCCTGGGCGAGGAGGGGTTAAGCGGCGGGACGCCCGGGGTGGGGGGGGATCCGGCTGCTCCCCCACGTCAGTTCCTGGCTCTGGCTCCCACAGCCGCCTCCTCGGCTGCCAAGGCCAGCCGGGGGACCTGGCAGGCTCGGGCTGCAACCCGGTGGCTTGGCACCTCCGCCACCTCCCGGGCCGCCAGCCAGGCCAGCGAGGCGGACGCAGCCGGGCTCCAGGGGCCGCGGGATGGAGAGCAGACCCCGACTCCTCGCGCTGCCCGGAGGAGGAGGCCGGGGTGCCGGCAGGGAGGAGGGTCCGGGGTCCCCCACGCCCATCCCCCCACCCAGGGCTGCTTACCATCACGTAATGACGCTGCATCTCCGACTTCTCACTGGCCAGTTTGTCACATTCGAGCTTCAGGCTGAAGAGGGAGAGGGGGGAGGGGGCGGGCGCTGGGCTGAGGTCCCCCCGAGGCGCAGGGGAACCCCGAACTTCGATGGGGGACACACACGCCCTCCTCTGTGAGGATGGGGCGGGCATAGAGACCCCCAGGTTCCCCAGGTATGACGGGAATTATGAAACCAACCTCGCAGGTCGGGTGGTGAATAACAACAACGATAATAAAAATAACAGAAGTCAGAGCGAAAGCCCCGACTCTTGGTCAGAGGGGGATTCAGAGAACCTTTACCCATCCCGAATCCCGCTGAGGTCGGTCCTGTTAGCATCACGCTCATTCAGCAGATAACGCAGTGGATGCCCAGAGAGGGTGAGGAACTGTCTCCAGGTCACACAGCCGGGAAGCTGGCTTCAGAGGCCACACTCTCAGCCACTGGGGAAAAGTCTCCAGCAAAAGAGGAACAGACAGAGACCGCAGAGGGGCTGAGAGGCCGGGGGCCGGCTGGAGGGCTCTGGGGTGGACTCACCGAGGAATCCCCAAGGTGGTCCAGGCACCCCCCTGCCGTGGGCTTTGATTTCATGAGGAGGTGCAAGTTCCACTGCTGGGTAATGGATGGTGACCCCGGCCTCCCCCAGTAAGGACGAGCTGCGGGCATTTCTCGAAGCCCCCCAAGGGGGAGCCGACAGCACAGACTCAAGGCTGCCGGACTGGGTTCAACGCTGTCCTGTTCCTTCGATGCTGTGTGACTCTGGGCCAACGCCTCTACCCCTCTGGGCCTCAGTCTTTGCGTCTGTTAAGTACCAACCTCCCGGGGTGGGCTGGCGAGGAGGACACGGATTAAGACCAGAAATGCTCTTAGGACGATGCCTGGCATACACTAAGCATCTAATGAGTGCTTGGTGATCATATGGTCACCCCAGGAGCCTGGCGCTTCACTCCGCCAGACCGACCGGGACTTGGACAGCAGCTGGGGTCGCCGTGGCCTCCACGAGTTTATTTTCTCTAATTTGCTTTAAAAATGCACATTTGTTAACCCCACTTAAAAAAAAGAAAATCGCAATCTCATCCCAGACTCTGGATTCCTGGCAGATCCGGTGTGTGCCCCCAACGTGGCAGGGTCCCTCATTGGATAGCGGGAAGTGCGGGTCCAGTGCACAGAGACCCCAAAGCACAGAGAGGGGCTCTGGCCCCCCCCCGAGGTCACACAGCACTGTGGCAGCAATATGACGCTCGGTGTCTGCGACTGGACCACCCCACGCTCACTGTGCGGGGGGCAGGGCCGGGGTCGGGGAGCGGAGGACCCCTTGGAGGGGCTCGGAAAGGCCAACCAGACCCCTGCACATCGCAGACCAGAACAAATTCCTGGGGCCTGCCTTCCAACTGCCCGTGCCTCAGTTTCCCCACCTTTAAAATGGGCACGATTATGGGACAACAAGAAAGATTTAAACGAGAGGATGTCTGTTCAGTATTTAGCACATGAAGAGTCTAGGAAGCACCTCCAAGAGGCTGGATGTTTGCAAAAAAACCGAAAAACTCACTATTCCCCCTTTTTTCTTCGAGGAAACCCAGCATCCTTCAAAGAACACTTGTGTGTGGGTAAACTGAGGTCCAGAGAGGCCTTGGACGCCCTTCCCGGGCCTTCTTCAACCCAGAGAGATCGGGTGCAACTCTCAGTTCCGCCACTTGCTTGCTGTGCGTCCCCGGGAAATCCCTAACCTCTCTGGGCTTCAGTTTCTCGGGCGGAAAATGAAGATAATAATAGCTCCTTCCCCTCAGATGGGGCAGAGGGCAGGCCCTGCAGACAGGTCAGCACATTCCATTCTGGAGGGAGAAGCACCTTTGAGAATCTGTTGGCTGCCGGGACGCTTTCTGCAAAACTAGCAGAGAAACGTATAGCAGGCTACAGAATTCTTTTTTGGGGGGTGGGCGGGTGGAGGGACCCCCGACAGTTATTGGGAGGTCTGTTATCCAGTAGGGATGGGGGTGGGAGGGGGGCTCTGAAGCCACGAGTCTTGGGCAAATGATTTAACTTTCTGCGCCTCAATTTTCCCATCTGTGAAATGGGACTGTCGGGAAGAGGAAGTGAGTTTATTCTTGGTCCAGCGCTCAGGATGTACACAGCAAGGGCCACGACCTCGCCCCAGGCCGCAGTGCTGCGCCTGCGCGGGGGCGCCCTCCTCACCTGTGGTACTGGGCCTGCAGCAGCTGGAACTCGTCCTTGATGCGGTCGCAGGAGTCCGAGGTGGTGAATTTGAGTTGCTGGGGTAGGTGCGACGAGCCCTGCGGGGAGGGGGCGGCCGGGTCAGGGTCAGGGCCGGGCGGGGGGCGGGGGGGCTCCCTCCAGGGCGGCCCTGAGGCCCGGCAGGCCCAGCTGCAGCGCCCCCGCCCCCCGCGCCCCACTTCCCGGGCCCGTGTTTACAGCCCCCGGCGCGCCCCCGCCCTCGCTTCCTGCCCTGCTTCTCCCGAGGGAAGCCAGGGGGTGGGCGCGCCCCGGAGCCGCCTTGTGCCCGCCACCCCCGGGCTGGGGGGTGCGCTGAAGGCCCGCCCTCGGGGACCCAGGGTGCGCCCTCTACCGCCCCTCCAAAGCGCAGGGAGGGGGGCGCACATTGAGCGCCCCGACTGCCTCTGGGAGGGGGGTGGGGACGCGTCCTGGGGAGCCCCCTCCCCAAGCTGGCGGGGAGCGAGGCCTCCCTGCAAAGTCCCGTTGGGGGAGGGGCCCCTCTCAGCGCCCCAAATCTCCTGGGGGGCCCCCCCGATTCCCGGCACCCCTCCTCCGGGCCCTTCCGGGAGGGGTGCGTCTCGGATCTCCCCCCACTCCCGGGCACCGAGAGCAGCCCCTGCGTTAGGGGCGCCCCAGGCCCGACGCCAAGGCCGCTCAGGCCCTGCCGGGCTCCGTGGGGGGGCGCAGGGCCCAGGGGCTGCGGGGCGGGGGCGCAGGGCCGGGAGCTGGAGGGGACCCGGCCGGGGAGCTGGGGGGGGGGGCCCGGGCCCGGAAGCTGGGAGGGGGACTGGGAGCTGCGTGGTGGGGGAGCCCTGGGAGCTGGGGGGGGAGCAGCGCTGGGCCTGGAGCTGGAAGGGACCGGGCCCAGGAGTTGGGGGGAGGCGCCGGGCCCGGATCTAGGGGGGCACAGGGCCCGGACCTGGGGGGGAAATGGCCGGGCTGGGAACTGGGGGTGCC